GCGCGCGGTTCTACCCCCCCCGCCTTGAGGCTCCTTCCACAGCTTTTCCCCCGCCCTGGGATCCGAGGGGCCCGTCCCCCGAGGCGCCTGTGCACGGGTGAGAGGAGGCCTTGCAGGGCGTCCGGTAGGTCCCACCTACCTGAGAGCTCAGCGCCCTCGCGGGCACCCTCGGCGAGAAGGGCCGGGCTCCCCGGGCTTCCATTCTATAAGCCTCTGCCCCCCGTCTCGCCGGGCCGGGACGCCCTCCGGCCCCGCCCCCGAATTCCTGTCCCGATTGACTGGTGTGTTCATAGTAAATTGAAAAGCACTCTGGCTGTGCTGACAGTAAACACAGGGCCCCGGGGCGCCCTCCTGGGGCGGGGGACCCGCTCCCAGGCCTGGAGCCGTTAACCCTCCGTGGGGGCTCTTCCCTCCTGAGGCACCTCTGGGGCTGAGAGCCATTGAGTTCCAAGGAACTGCCGCTTTACCCTCCCCTGTTCCTGCTCTGGCCGGCTTTGGGGCCCTCCCCCCAGCAGACAACAGGGGGGCTCCGTGCTACCCGTGTCACACCTCAGCCAAGCTCCCCGTCACTCCCCAGGGGACGCTCCCAGTTCGAGTCACACGCACGAGAGTCACACGCACGAGAGAGTCACACGCACGAGAGTCACACGCACGAGAGAGTCACACGCACGAGAGTCACACGCACGAGAGAGTCACACGCACGAGAGTCACACGCACGAGAGAGTCACACGCACGAGAGTCACACGCACGAGAGAGTCACACCGATTGATTGTCTCCTTGTGTAGCAGGGAGGCAGGACAGGCCGGTAACCGCGGGGGAAGCTGCCGACCCCCATAAGTCCACTCTCCTCCCCTGCGCCAGCCAGCTCCCGCCTCCTCACCAGAGCAGAGGGTGCGACATGCGTTCCCAGGACAACCCCTCCGTGTGTGGTGCCGTCTCTCCCCGGCGGTAGGGGATCTGCAATCCAGCAGCACAACTGCCTGCCCGCCGTGACACCGAGCTGCAGCCAGGGGCGGATGTGTCATGGACTCCAGACTGGGGCTCCCCGCTGCTTACGGGCACAGAGACATTGGCACCGACCAGCCCCCCACTTTCAGAGCCCCCCGGGGCAATAATGCAATTGCTCTGCAGAACTAGCAGGGGTTGCTGCCTTCAACTAGACTGCCGTCACATCTAGCTCACACCCACACAGAGACCCACAGCTCAGACCCACACCCCCCTCACACACAGAGACCCGTAGCTCACAACGCACAGAGACGCACACCTCACACACAGGCAGTCGCACGCACCGACACGCAGCTCACATCCACACGCACCACACACACCGCTCACGCCCCGGCTGAGGCGCACCGCTTTCATCCCCACACCTGACACACAGACTCGCAGCTCACAACCACACACGCTTCATCTGGGATGGGTGCACGCAACACACACACAGCGCTCCCACAGAGACCCGCAGCTTGCAGCCACACCGATATTCAAAAGGCCGAAGCCCACCTCCGCACAACGCCACCGACACATACAGATTCTCTCCACTGCAAATGGAGACCAGTGGTCCCCCACACAAAACGCACAGCCCACCGCCCCCGGAGAACACACACAAACACACTCCCCCACGAGGGGCTCGCTCCCAGAAGCCAACACACCGCATGCTCTGGGAGCTGCCTCGCGCTGGCTGGTGACAGTAACAGCTCAGCCACAAGTGGCTTCTGTCTTTAGTCAAAACAAGCCCTTTATTTAACATCAATAACCAGGCGATTATGGGGAAACTGACAGCGAGGCCGCTGTGGGTCACTGCCAGGGAGGGGCAAAGTCACGCGTCCTGATGCCAGGCGGTTCCAGCAGCCACCCAACGTGCCCTGGGGCTATTTGAAAGCCTTGCGCCATCAGCGCGGAGGCTGGGCTCGGAGGGGTAAGAACTACTGCAGACTCCTAAGCTACGTCTACACTGCCCTCCCTTGCACAAGAAAATATGCAAATGAGGCAAAGCGGCGCCACGCCTCATTTGCATACTTAATGAGCCGCCATTTTGCACACGGGGCTTTTGTGCAAAAAGGAGCCGTCCACACGGCTCCTTTTTGCGCAAAACCCCTCTCTTGCGCAAGAGCCGTTCTTCCTGAAAAAAGCAGCAGAACGGCTCTTGTGCAAGAGAGGGTTTTTGCACCAAAAGGAGCCGTGTAGACGGCACCTTTTTGCACAAAAGCCCCTTGTGCAAAAACGGTGGCTCGTGAAGTATGCAAATGAGGCGTAGCGATATGCACTGCTTCGCTTCATTTGCATATTTTCTCGCGCAAGAGGGGGCGTGTAGATGTAACCCTTGGGGCCAGGGTGCAGGGGGGTAGTGGCTAGAGCTGGCCACCCTGGCACACAACAGGAATGGATTGGGTGGCACTAGGATGCCGGCAGCAGGGTTCCATGGGGAGCGTTCTGTTGGCATGGGGCGTGCCCCCTCCAGTACCTCACAAAGGCAGAGTGCGTGACTGCATTAGCTGATCTCTTCCCTCCCCTCTGGGTTCCTCACCATTTTCAGACCCACAAGCCTCTGCCTCTCTGGGCAGGTACCAGTGGGTCTGGGAGACCCGATCTGGCAGCCACCGGGCCCGCGTGTGCTGTATTAGAGACGAATCCAGAGGGCAGAATCTGGCTCCAGACCCGGACTCCCTCAGAGTCAGGGGGGAGGTTCGAACCCAGGTGCTTGCTGGCTTAGAGATGGTGGTAGCAGGTCAGTCACAAAGTCTGAATCGGGGCCAGAATCAGTCTCTTGCCCAAAGGGCAGGAGGAGCGAATCCAGGCTGAACTCTAGTCCTAATTAGCGCTGGGGTGCGTTATCAAACCCTCCCCCAGACACCGCAGTCCAAAGCCCACCTAGGACTCGGCGCTGCTTTCTGTTGGCTTCAGAGGTCGGTGACTCAAGGCCCTTGTTAATTTCGTCTCACCCACACACAGCCCCTGGCCCCAGATGAAATGCCCGGTGTGCGTTCTGCCTCCTTAGCTCACTCACTTTGCCCACAGCCACCTGCCAGCCTCTGCCAGCTTCCTGCTTTGCCCAGCGGCACCACCTCCATTATCCTTCCCTACATAGGGCATAGACCACGGCTAAGCCAGCAGGAGGGGCTGAAAAACACACCCCTGCCTCTCCCGATACACCATGCCTGTCCCCCCCACACCTGTCCCCCTATGTAAAACTACACCCATTCCTGCATGTTGTGCTCACAAGCACACGCTCAAGGGAACAGTGAGTGCTGTCTTTTTGCCTCCGCCAAGTTGCTGGGGGTGGGGGTCAAATGAGACACTCCCCCCCCCACCCCCGTCACCGGTTCAGGATTTGAAAACGTCCAGCCCGGACTTGGCTTTGGTGTCTGGTTCCCTTACGTTCCAGGATCTGAGATTCACAGTGTGCGTCCTGCTGTGTCCAAGCTGCCCAGGGTGGGAGTCGGGGACTTCAGCGACTTTTAGCTCTGGAGAGCCCTGGTGTATTGGCACTCATGCTAGATGTCCCAGGCCTGGCCCCGTCGCTGGACCCCTCGTGACAGCTTCAAGGTAGGAAACTTGCTTGCTAAGGACAGCTGCAAGCACCTGTGTATGTGGCTCATCGAACTGAGCATGGGGCTGGCAGCCAAATGCGCCTCTCTGGGCTAAGCCCATCTCTGCCACTGACTTGCTCCATCACCTTGGTCACATCACTTCACCTCTCTGCCTCAGCCTGTCAGACGACAGCCTGCCTCCGTCTGGAGAGTTTGGTGGGTTAATTCCAGCTAATAATAACACGAGGGATGAAATGTGTGGTGTCCAAAAGCACTGATGCAGCGAGCCCCCGAGAGAGGGCAGCATGGAGACTTAAGCCGTGGGGCTGGCTACAGATGCAAATCTCCATCTAGGGCAGGCATAGCTTGCTGGGTCCTGCCTTTGAGTGTCTTTGGGGAGGCGGGGGCGGATGGCAGTGAAAATACAACACAGCTCCTAGCAGCCAGG